AAGTATCCTTTATATCCCTTATATTATAAGGCTTATAGTTATAATTGATTATAAGGCTTATAATCAAGAGTTGGTTGCGTCTATAAATAAAGAACTTCTGGTTCAGTGCTTGCAGAGCCTTAGAAGCACCTAGGGTCCTATGGGATCAAGCAGGCTCTCTTCTGAAGAGTCAGGAGGTTTTAGCGTTCCCTTCCCATCCACGTGTTGTTTGATCGCATTTTCTGTCGGTCTGGTGGTAGATAGTTCTTGCCCCGCCTGCTGCCTCTTTCATTTGTGTGGCAGCCACAGTAAGTGCCACAGATAGTGAGAGGCCGCAGGCCTGGGCAGGCTACACATGGCCTAGCGTAGCGCTTTAAGTGGAGCTGGGGTGGGCGTGTGTTGGCATCTGCCCCCTGACACCAGAGGAGAGTTAAGGTACTGGTTATATTTCGGAACAGCTTGGCAACTCCAGCCCTCGGTGACTTGAAATATTAAGAACGGGAGGCTGGACCTTGGTTTCTCAGTGTTTGGCCTGAGTCAGGTTAGGGAGACTGATTTCCTCCTCCCCGTGGCCTAATCGGTTTTGACACGCTGAGAAATTTGTTAACTTGGTTTATTAATATTGAGAATGTCTTTTTTGCTTAAGAAAATGAGTTTCAAGTAAAATGAGGAAAGTACTAGCCTTCTACGGGGCTGGCCAGTACTGGATGGCTGAAGGGTCAAGAGAATAAGGAGACAGCCACATCTGAGAAAGAATAGGCAATAAAAGCAGTGTGGACCATGATGGTCCTTCACTTGGGCACTCTTGACTCTTGGGGCTGAATTGCTTGTGTTTTTCCCCCCTACGAAACCTACTAATGGACAGAATGTGCCAGAATGAATGGTTCAGTCAGGCTTAAGAATACACCTTTGTTTTGGCATGGTCTGGCATCTCTTAAACGTTAGCCTGCTAAACAATGGTAATACAGTCAAGTATGCAGTTAGTTACAAAAGTGGTATTTTTACAGTCAGATTTTAATTGAACTGAGTGGTATCCTTCCATAGCCTAAACAGTTCAATTTTCTCTGGATCTATTTCAGTAAAGGGTCATTAAAAAGCAAGGCACATCTTCATAATTAGACGACTGTCAGGTGATACAAGTCATTTCCTCTCATCTGAATTGTGTTCTTTAATTATTTGCAAAGAAATCCTTTTGGATGTGCTTTAGCTCTACGGGGCATCATAATCCTAGTGATACCCTTTTATAATGCAAAGTAGAAGATTCTCAGAGCTGTAAGGAATGTTAGCTGTCACTTGCCCAAGTAATACATCTCCTCTACCTTGTCTCCCTTTTATACACGTCTCATTAAATATTATTCCTGGCATTGTATTTTTTGAGCTGTTCATTTTACATTTAGTATTTAATGTCAAATGTTTTTTGATTGTACCTTTATTGGAGGCATAATTATACTTATTTATGGAAAATCCATAATTTTGTAAATACCATCTTTTAGGGTGTACCTTTGTATGCAAAGATAACCAGGTCTTCTACGTTAAGAATTTATAGAAATTAAATCCAGTAAACACTTAGTGGATCCAGTAACAGCCCTAACCAGGCCCCATGAGTAAGTGATATTACAGATGATAAACTCGTTCAGAATGTACTAGCTAAAAGCATAGCCTTAAGCTAGAAGGTAGACACAGAGATTTTTGAAAACAATTCCTAGGAAATAGATCCCTTTTAAGCGCTGCTATATGTACAAATAAAATTACATTTTTAACATATTTTGACTTTGTGCCGCTGTCTTACCAGAAAATTTGTTTTTCTATAAAATTTATTTTAAAAGATTTATTAAAGTATTTAAATAATATGTTTTATCTAATTTAAAAGTGTAACATGTGCTCTTTGTGAAAAGGTATGAATAGAATTAAGAACATAACTACCTGTAATCATAGTATCGGAAGGTAATAGAATCATTGGTACCATTTTGGTGGATAGTTTTTCATGTTCTTTTTTCCTTGTGCACATAGATACATATTTAAAAATCAAGATTTGGATCACACTGTACATGAACTGTTTTCCTTAATATTTCATTAACATTTCCCCCATATTCTTCGGGAAATATATTAGTTTCCTATGGCTGCTGTGTCAAATTTCTATAAACTTCGTGGCCTAAAACAACACAGATTTATTCTCTGGCAGTTCTGGGGGTCGGTAGTCTGAAGTCAGTCTCACGGGGCTGAAGTCAAGGTGTCAGCTTCATTCTTTCTGGAAGTTCCAGGGGAGAATGTGTTTCCTTCCCTTTTCCAGCATCCAGAGGCACCTGCATTCTTTAGCTCCTGACCTCCTCCTGTATCACTTCAGCCTCATGTTTCCGTCATCAGTTCCCTGCCTCCCTCTTATAAAGACTCTTGTAATTACATTGGACCCACCTGGATCGTCCAGGACACTAGACATCCTTAGTTTAGTTACACCTGCAAAGTCCCTTTGGCCATATAAAGTAACATTTATAGGTTCTGGGGATGAGAATGTGGACATCTTTTGGGGACCATTATTCAGCCTTCCAAAGGACCATAGTTTGAAATTGCTGCATTGCATTCCATAGTATGGGTGCACTAATTATTTAGCTAGTCCCCTATTGCATTTAGGTGGTCTGTAATTTTTCCCAGTTAAAACCCTTGGACATAAATTATTGTATGCTTTCAGGTTTATACTTCTATGGATTTTAGGAAAGCAGGGTAACCTACCTCGTAAGAGTGTGGCCTCTGGAGCCAGACCACCCAAGTTCCCAGCCCAGCTTCCCCACTTACTGGCGAGGTGACTCCAGGGAAGGTGCTGAGCCACCGTGGGCCTCAGTTTTCTCATCTGAAAAATGGGGGGATGGGTAGGAACAGGTTGTCGTGGGATTAAGTGAGTTAATACATGCACGCTACTAGGATAACACCTGCCACATGATAAATGCTCAGTAAGTGTTAGTTGTTGTTATTACTGAAGTTATTACACTAAAAGTTTTTTACGTCCATATATTGCCAAATTACTCTAAAAGGTCATAAGAGTTTTTTACATTCACTAGCAACCTATGAGAGTACTCATTTTATTGGGTGGAATTCTTAAACATGATTTTATTTTATACTCAATTTTTGTCTCAATTTTTGTCAAAATGTTACTTGATTTTTATCATGTAGATTATAGAGGCACTGGGGTTAATTTTAGCAGCTGTTTACTATCTCAGTTCCTTAATTCCTTAGAATGAGAAATACTTTTAATTTCTCTTTGACTGGCTCAGTCCATCTCTTGGTGTGTTCAGATATCATTCTGTGTGACAGGTGATGGGTGTAAACCTATTTGATAAGGTCCATGGTCTGGTTGTGCACACATGGGTCTGTGCAGAGTGAGTCTCACAGAAGAGGCTTAAAGTTGCCCCCACCCGTCCACCACATTTTATTTTTATAAATTATTTTATTTATTTATGGCTGCGTTGGGTCTTCGTTGCTACCCGCGGGTTTTCTCTAGTTGCGGCGAGCGGGGGCTACTCTTCGTTGCGGTGCGCAGGCTTCTTTCATTGCGGTGGCCTCTCTTGTTGCGGAGCATGGGCTCTAGGCGCACGGGATTCAGTAGTTGTGTCACATGGGCTCAGTAGTTGTGGCTCGCGGGCTCTAGAGTGCAGGCTCAGTAGTTGTGGCGCACGGGCTTAGTTGCTCCGCGGCACGTGGGATCTTCCTGGACCAGGGCTCGAACCCGTGTCCCCTGCATTGGCAGGCGGATTGTTAACCACTGCACTTCCAGGGAAGTCCTCCACCACATTTTCAAATTCATACTCCCACCCTCCTGAGGGCAGCGCTAGCAACTGAGACTAAATGTAGGACCTTTTTTTTGCATATTTTGGAAACCATTCAACCTGCCAGAAAGGGTCCAAGAACAATAGAAGCCCTTTTTTCCCTCTGAACAATTTGAAAGTAAGTTGCAGACCTGATGTCCATTACCCCTGGATACTTCAGTGGGCATTTCCTGCAAGCAAGGACCTTTTTATGCAGTCACGGCACAGCCTTCAAAATCCAGCAGTTAGTCTTGATACGCCACTACTAGCTGATCACAGGTTGGCCCCATTCAGGTTTTGCCAGTTGTTCATTCCGGTAATGTACTTACAGTAAAGGGATCCAGTTCAGAGTCTTGAGTTGCAGTTAGCGGTCATGTCTCTTGAGTCGCCTTCAATCTCAGCCATTCCTTGACTTTCATTACCTCAGTACTTATGGAAATTCTATGCGAGTTGTTTTGAAAAATGTCCCTCGATTGGGGTCCTGATGTTTCCTTAGGATCTGATTCAGGTTGTGCTTCTTTGGCAGGAGCCCCTCAGGTGACGCCAGGCTCTTCCAGTGCGTCTGCCCGGCGGACCTGGGTCCATTTGTCCCATCGCTGGTTAACCTGATGAAGCGTCTCCATTGTAGGGTTACCCTATTTCCTTTCGTAAATCAGGATTTTGCTGGGAGCCATTCTGAGCCCATGTGAATAACTTATTCCTCTTCACAGTTTAAGTTTATTTTACGTATATATGCTACAGTGGACTCATGCTTTCCTGTTGTATTCTGGGTCAGGATCTGTTACGTTCATTATTTGCTTCGATGCTCAGATTGTCCTGTGCTGGCCTCTGTGTCCCTTTGACACGTCCCCACCATTCTTTGAGCTTTTCCTTACTTTCTGGCGCAAGAAGATGTTCCAGACGCATCTCTGTTCACCCTGCCCAGCCTGGAACTAGCTCTCTCTCCAAGGAGCCTGGTTTCTTTTAGTGGAGAATAGTTATTTAGAAAACCAGTTCTGGGTTCCCTCCTGTTGGGATATCACTGCCCCTGTGTCCTTTCAGCAGACAGAGCTAGGAAATACATGTATGTGTGTTTGTGTGAGTGTATTTTTCTACATCTGTCTGTATATTGAAAACCTTGAGTTCACACCAGTACTTCCAGTTTTATTGTGATCCTGCATGGTTCATTCCAGTTTTTCCCCTTTCATATTTGAGACTTCCTTCCCTGTCAGTGAGAAATCTGCCTCCCATTATCCACAAAATATTTATTTGATCAAATCAGTGTCCCTTCGTCACTGCCGGCGCCTCACGCAGGCTCTGATACCCCTCGCCAGGGGCCTCTCCCCTCAGCCTCCGTCACTCCGCGCCAGGCCGCTGCAGCTCTCCCACCGCTGCCTCCTCCTTATCCTCGGCCGATTATTTTTACAGAAAGTGTTTTCTTTTCCTGTTGTGTCTGTGCTCCTCTTCTCTGTGCTCACCTTACGCTTGTTGCTGCGTACGTGTTGGCCACTAGATGGTGAGCCCGTCTTGGGGACACACTCTCCAGGGCTGAACTGTGGAGTGAGAGCGGAACGCAGCCGTTGTGCACGCGGTCGCGGGGTGCCTTCAGAGCGCTGCGGAGGAGTCGGGGGAGCCGTATCTTTAAAACAAACAGGCCAAGGGCGCAGAGGTCGGTAGGCGGTGGCGGGTGTTCCCTCCCCAGCGCCCACGCCGTCACTCACCCGCCTCTAGGTCCCCCGTGGCATTTTTCTTTTCCTCAGTGCAAATTTATGTTTTGAAGCTCTCTCTTTCTGGGACTGGGAAACGTAGAAACCTCCATATCTGTTGTCACTCTTGAAAAAGAGTGTCTTCCTAGAACCAGGTTTTAGTTCACCTTTAAAGAACAGAAGCAGGTCAGCCAGGTCCAGATAGGGAGTGTCTCCTTGTTCCCGTCCTTCCCAGCCTTCTCCTTCCTCCCCCTCCATGGGGATTGTCCTCATGAGGGTGTCTGCTTTCCAGCCCCTGTGGTTTGGAGACTCCTCTAGTGTGGCCCTCTGGTGAGAGGTTCAGTGACCTTTCAATTACTAAACCAGTGACCGCTGTTCATTATGGAAATGTTTCCCCTAATTTGGGGGTTTTGACCTCCCTCTTCCCCTCTGCCCTGAGCCATGCCGCACCCCCCCCCCCCCCCCCCCCCCCCCCCCCCCCCCCCCCCCCCC